TGACCGTGCGAAAATAAACCATTTCAGACCAAAAGGAACGTTTTCCAGTAGTATTATCAAGACTGAAAAGAGTTTTGAAACAACGAAGAAAAGAATCTTTTTCCAATGGAAATAATAATTCTAAATATTTAACATGTGGAAATTGATGAGCAAGAGTATTTATTTCTTTTTCATCTATTAAACGACGTTCAATAATCAAATGATGAATTGAAGGTTGTGGAATACTATTTATTGAACTAACAGCTAGAAATAAATAGAAAGAGATATTTTTTAACAAAATATTTAAAAAAAAAAGTCTTTACATGTTTCTTTACTCAGAATTAATTTCGAAATTCGTTGTGGCAATATCATATTAATTGATAAACATGTTCGAAGTTGACGAACTTGACTAAATACTCTATTCATCTCTAACAATTCATTCTCTCTTGCAATATTAACATCATTCATATATAGAGCAAATTTAACATCCGATGTAACTGATATATTATATTGACCATTAACGACAGGTATTTCTCGTTTGTCTTCTCTAGTTGATGGCCATGGTAATGAATAAATATGTATCCATTTAGTATCTTCTATTTCATAAAAAATATAATTCATTGTCCATTGAATAAAATCTTCAATTAATGTTTTATCACTAATTCGATGAGTCATTGTATAATTAAATTGATAAAGATGTGGAACATATTTATTTAAGATTGATTCCATTGTTACTCCATTAGAAAATCTTGAATCAGGTGTATCACGAATATTTAATGTTAACTTACGAAGATCAGTCATATAACCAAGAATACATTCAATATCATCAATAACTATTCTAGTACAATTCTCCAATAATGTGAATTCGATCAATCGAGAACACAATAGTTTATATTGAGGACGAGAACATGCTTAAATAAAAATATCTTTTAATTTCGAAATATAATTCTTTTATATAAGATGATAAATATGAAAAGATTTACATGATTAAAAAAACGTTTATTTGAACAATGTGATTATACTTACTCAATATACGTGATTGATGCAATTGAACAATCATTGTTTCGACATTTGGTATAAGTCCATTGAGTAATATATATAAATCATCAATTGTTTGTAAAATAATATGAACATGACGAAGAGATTGATGAGGAATTAAACATTTATATAATGAGAGTCCATCATATACTTCAATTTTAATTTTATGAAGAGTACACATTTGACCAGAGAATAACAATCGATTGATTATTATATCATTTTTCTCCATGCAATAAACATCTAAAAAATATATCAAGATTTTTGCTTGTTTATCAAAAAATCAAAAATAATCATTAAATTTTTTTATTCAATCAAAGTTATTGGAAAGAAGAATTGATCTTTGATTATCTTGTCTTTTTTAAATTCTTTATTTTTATAAGGATAAATTTTATTCTAAAATAAATTTAGTGATAATAAACTCACCAAAATTTGGATTAGATTTTTGAATAGTAACATGAAGATATTCAAGTTTTGTCAAATGTTTAGAATGCTGATCGATAGTAACAAGATCACCTGGTAGACAATCAATTAAAGTAAGATCTTTCAAATTAGTGAAGATTGGTTGAATTATTTTTGTCGGTATTGAAGAAAAATAGTGTTCAATTAAACAAGATACATGTTCATTACTTAATCTTAATGTTTCAGGTTGAAGAAGATAATCTGAACTACGAAATAAATTAATTAAATAATTATATTTATCAAATGTTATTGCATCAATATTAATTTTCATATAATAATCAGAAATTAAACAATGAAGACTCATGTCAGGTCTTTCAGGTGTGTAAAAACAATGAAGAATATCAGCTGTTGACATATAACGACAAATCATAAGCAAAATTTCATTTGGTAAATCAAGTAAACAAGTGACACTACGATGAAAACGTTTCACTGGTGATATTAAATTAATATTATCGTCGATAACACGTTTCATGTCTTTGTTTCAAAAGATTTTTTTTATTTAAAATTAACTAAAACAATTGAATAATCAAACGAAAATGTAAACATTAAATATAATTCCTTGACAGTCGAGTTTGTCAAAAAATAGAAATTTCTTTGACAAATATATATATATATATAATGACCTCAAGAATATTATATAACGGACGTATTGAATACNTGCTCTTGCTATGTCAATGTGTACAGTTGGTGCTCGAAAAGAAACATTAGATCAAATGTTACATGCTCTTGATGCATCATCAATAGACAGTTTAACAAAAACAGCTGAAAAAATTATGCATGTGTTTTCTATTGCTGATCATGATAAACAAATTAAACTTAAATTAGCTAATCGTCTTTATGCACAAAAAGCATATAAAATTCAACCAGATTATTTAAGTCTTGTTCAAAATTTTTTCAAAGCTGATATTAAACTTGAAGATTTTGAAAATGACAGTGCTCATGCTGTTCAAACAATAAATGCATGGGTTGAAGAACAAACTAATAAATTAATTCAGAATTTACTTTCAAAAAATGATGTTTCATCTGATACACGATTAATTATTGTTAATTGTATTTATTTTAAGGTGAATATTAGCTTTCATGAAAATAAAATAATTTCTTTCTTTATTAACTGATTAATAGGGTACATGGATGGAACAGTTTAAAGAAAGTTTAACAAATCCAGATGCTGATTTTTATGAAGCTAATGGAAATATTTCAAAAATAAAACTAATGTATCAAAAAGAAAAATTTGCTTATGCTGAAGATAGCGACTTGCATGTACAAATTGCTCATTTACCGTATAAGAGTGAAAATCAAGAAGTTCAATTTGTTTTTACTATAATTTTACCTAAGCAAGGTGTTACATTGGATGAAGTTGAGCAAAAATTAACATCAAAACCAGACTTAATGCAACAAGTATTAAGTGATAAAAATACAACAAGAAAAGAACTTCTTTTATATTTACCAAAATTTAAAATGGAAGCAACATTTGAATTAAATGATGTTCTCATAAAACTTGGAATGGTGAATGCATTTAGTAATATCAAAGCAGATTTTACTGGTATTGTCTGTAAACAAGATGAAAGAGATGGTTTATATATTAGCAAAGTAGAAAAATTCCATAATAAGAAAATGTATTTGTTGTTAATATAAAATTTTAGGTTATTCATAAAGCATTTATCGATATAAATGAACTAGGTGAGTCTGTGTATTTTTATAAAGTAGTTTATTGCTAAAGACTGAGAGTGATAGACAGAAGAAATGGATTTATTCCATTTTAAGTGAAAAGAGTCTGAAGCAACGGTAGTGATTATGAAATGAAAATGTTATATTTATAGAAGATTCAAGCTCGTTCAAAATTGATTTTGCGCCATAACATTCAAAGCCCATGAAATTTTTATAATAGATTGTAGGGCTCGAGTGGAGAGGCGATGATGAAATTTTCAGATAGATATCATGATGTTCTCATGATATATTCATTAAGCAAAGGTCAAAAATTTGGAATTTTGCGTCCTGAAATTCTCTGTAGGACTCTCATTTGTATATTTTATTCTTCTTTTCTTTAAAAAAACCATGGCATGCTGTTGAACACAGAAGTTGTTTTGTTCTCAGATTCATTCTGTTTTGAAAGAGGTCAAGAATGACAAGTATTGTGTCGCAAAAGATTCCCAAAAATTAGGTTTTTTTTAAGCAGTTTTTGAGACTTTTTGGGGATAGTGAGCCTGTGAGCTTCAGTCTGTAACAAAAAAGTAAGGGTTTTAAACAGAAGAACTATCTGTCCTTGCAGTATGGCATGCTCTATGAAACAAAAGAAAAGTAATATATGTAAAATGAAGGCCTAGAGAGAATTTTAGATTGTCAAGTTAGCTATTTTACACTTGTGTGTGATGCATATCTCATGAAAACATTATGATATAGAGCTGAATATTTCCATATGATTTCAATCTTCTAATCGAGTGGGTAGTTCATAGATTTTTTTTCCGTTAAATGAAAAAACGAAATATGGCATAATTTACTGAAAAATTTTATTGAAATGCTTTATAGAACAATTAAAAAATATCAATATAGATCATAAGGAAACACTGAAATTTTTTTCTAAAAATGAGATGTAAGATCTTGCAGAGGAGTCCATGATTTTCCTTACGATTTTCGTCTCATCTTATAATATCACACAAGATCAGAGATGCGATCTTGTAAGACCTAACCATGCCATTAGTTGACCTGGCTCATAAAACTTGCATTTAATTTGCACTTAAATTAGGTTCTGAAGCTGCTGCCGCTACAGCTGTTATCATGAATGATGCATTAGTATTACGTCGAAAAACTACTCCCACCGAATTCAAAGCTGATCGTCCATTTTTATTTTATGTTCGAGAAAGTCGACATAATTTCACACTGTTTACTGGCAAATTTCGTTCATCTACAAATTTATCGTCGTAATGTGTACTTCGATATGTACTTTTATAAAATTGATTGATAAACTAATTAAGAAAACTTTTTTCAGAAATAGTGCTTATGTTTTTTATACGTTAGAATGAAGAATTAGTACGAGTTTGCGCTGAATGTCTGACATTCATTTGAAGTCATAATTGAAGATTCTTCAAGTTTTTATTTATTTTTTCCATCGTTTCATTTAGGCTCAGAAGCAGCAGCAGCTACTGCAGTTGTCATGTTGGGTAGTTGTGCAGCAATGTTTGAGAAAGAACAGCCTATTGAATTCAAAGCTGATCGACCATTTTTATTTTTCATTCGTGAAAGTCGACAAAATATTGTTTTATTCAGTGGCAAATTCCTTTCACCACCGATGGCTTCATGAATCAACTATCTATGTTCGTTTTCATATGCCATATGCACACATTTATCATAAACGGACATAAGGATATATTATATACTAATCAATTTATTTTTTAGTGTTCATTTTTGAAAAGCTCGAAATCTATCTAAACTCGAATTTCATAAATAGCTTATATAATAAATTGGAGAAATTCTTTAACTTTTAGCGACAAGCATAATATTGTCTATGAACGTATAAATATCGATTATGTAAAAATGAAAAATTCATTCATCTGGTTATTGTTTCTATCATGGCGGAGTAACTAGATTGTTCGACATGTAACTACAAAATGCTGTGCTGAAATTTCGGTGCCATCAACTATAGAAGGGTTCTGAATAAGTCACTGACGAGTATTTTTCTCGAATGACTCTTCTAACTAAATGCTGACCCTCCAGGTAAAGAAGGTACGGTGAAAAACGATCGGGCCTGTGCCATTTTCTGCATTTGAAAACTATATCCAGGTACATTTTTCATTTCTAACACGATTCGAGATATGTTCATTGTTTATCTGGTTTGGAAAGTCTATGAAGCTAAAGTAAGTAAGAAGTCGAAGTCTGCTATATGGTCACATCAACAAGAATCATAAATTATGATAGAAAAGTGAATATAATTTTATTGAATTATGTTGAATTGAATTTATGCATAATCAATCAATTATGTACAATCAATTCTCAAACTCACTCAAACAACAGAGAATTATGTCGTGGTTTTTGTCGAATTCATGAAAAATAGATATATTCTTAGCTAGCACTGTAGATTCACTAACAATTCTCAACAGTTTTTATCAACCAGAAAATAAATTAAATCAATAATATTTATGTGTACTCTTAACGATTCAAGTCTCATGTAAAATACGATACTCACCAATACATTTTAATATCAATTTTCGATATTCGATGTGTGAAAAACTTCGAAAGAAACACCGAGTTCTCATTTCAGGATCGTCATTTTGTGAAGCGAATTGAAAACGAACAGTACTTCATATCGATGTAGAGGTACAGAATCCTGAAATGTAGATAAATTCTTGAGTAAATCTTCGCTACTATCAAAATAAAGGAAAAGCCGGACTCTTTTTATCTACTTGTACATTCGTAGAAAGAAAAAGAGAAATCAATTTATTTAGCACACAAAAAATCATTGGAGAATCTAATCTTTTGTAATCTTCAATTAATAGAAGCTGTTTTCATTCAACAAGTAGTGGATAATATAAATTACGTAAATAAACGAATAAGCTATTTCAATAATTTCTGTTAATGAATAAATTACAGGAGCTCGGCACGACGCTTATATTCTTATTTCTACAAGAGAAACATCTTTATTTGAATTCCCAAAATGAAACACTTTCCTCAAAGTTGAAGCATTTCTCTCAACGCACATCGAAGCATACAAGTAGAACCCTTTGCGATAACGTTGAACGAATATTGTACGACTCTCCAATCTTCTCTTTTGCGACTAAGGTCAACTCTCTGTGATGAAAAATCACTGAAATATTAACGAAATACTGATGATACTATTCTTTATGTCGTAGTCGTTATAAGGACTATGATGTTTTCAAATTTATAACAAAAATTTCTCTTGTTCTCCATTTACTATACTATGGAATTTAAATACATATTGTTTCAGCTATTTCTCGTTTTCCAAACAGTAAAATGATATGCTTCATTGTAACGTCATTTTGCATCGCATAAATGATGGATCCAACCAAGTGGATAGTTTTTACTTGTTAAATATAGTAAGATCATTATATAATATTCTGAAAAACAAAACTGATACTAGAAGCAATAAATGCAGCAATAAAACAAGTTTTTTAAAAGCAATTTTGTATAATGTCTGATAATGGAAGTAGAGTACTGCAACCCGGTCGGGTACCCGAAACCGAACCGAACCGGACCATGGGTTCGGGTAAAATTTTTCGGGTCGGTTCGGGCGTCGGGTTAAAAAAGAAATTTCGGTTCGGGTCCAAGTGTAAGACCAAACCCGGACCCGAACCGGCAATTAGTGACATTTCAACTTTTCAAAATATT